CAATCATACATTCGTCAGCAGTTTCAAAAAAATCGGTTATTGATACCGCGGCTTTGCCGTATGAAATAATTTTAGTTCTGAATAAATTTTACATAATAACAACTAATATTGATGTAAGTGATGGCTTAGCTAATGGTTGTATGGGAAAATTAGTGTACATAGAACGTGGCGATAATGATGAACTTCTACGTTTATGGTTTGAATTTCCCGGTAAGATAGGTTACAAAATTAGGAAGAAAGCTTCACATCATATTCAAACTCTTAATATCAGTAGGACAGCTGTGCCGATGCTCAGGAGATCTTATTATTATTGATGTTATATGATTATTAAAAGATGATTTTTAAAATTCAAATATGATGTTTTTTTTATTTTTATCTTAATTGCCTACTCATACAATATTAAAAGTTTTACTTCAATCGCGTGTGATCCTTACGCGCACTCTTTTTTTTATTATTATTAATATTGTTATCCATGCCTATTTATCTATTGTCCATTAACCACGTGAGGATTTTAGGGGGGAGGGTTGAGTCTCGAATAACGTGTATTTATTCTTTACCTGAATTTAAAATATTTTTTTTTTTTAAATTACAATTTTTCTTGTAACTAAAAATGCACCACGTATCACTAAGCGGGGGGGGGGGGGGGTCTCTAAAAATCCTTAAAAACTCGATTACGTGATTAATGGACGCCCCCTTATTACTCAAAACATTTAAAAATGTTAACATTAAGAAAAGGTTCCGAATGAATCCATCTGAGGATATATTTCTTACGATCAGAATAACGCATTCGAAATATATACATTTTGAAACCGAATTGTAAATTTGGAATTCATATTTGATTTATAAAACTTTGAAACTTTGTATATTTTTGGAAACTTTTCTTGAATTATATAAGTGCGGAACTTTAAAAATGAACTCGTACGTGTGGTGCATGGCATTGTGCCTTAAGGCAAATTGCTGAAACTTTCCGTACTGTAATTAAAAATCTTGGTACGGAACCCAAAAAAATTTACACAAAATATGTACACATTATTAAAATCTCTGTAAAATATCCGATAATTTGATGTACATATGTCCAATAAACATTTTTGACCGCCAAATGACATTTTTTAAACTAATTTTTATTGAGAAACCATAACCGCTAGACCTGCCTTTTCAAAAATTTAATAAGTTCTGCATTTTGTAAATACAAGTAAAATGTTTTTTGAATTATTAAAATCGGACGCTTCGTTCTCTTAAAAACTGAATTATCGTTTTTGGCACTTTTTGCTTCGTATCTTAAAAACAACTAGACCTGCCTCTGCCTAAAGTTTAATAAATGTCTAAAAAAAAAATATTATATTGAAAGATTGAAACTCTTTTCCCGAAACTCTCATTTTATTTCATGAACAAATTCGCTATTGAGTTTTTTTTTCAACATGTCCCTTTAGTATACAATGTCCCTTACTGCCGACTATTGTAGATTCCTCAAATTTATTAAATATCCTTAACTGGACAGTTGTAAATAAAAAAGAAAATAAAAAAAAAATTTGCTCTCGTAGTTGTATCTGTGAAGTGAAGTCCCTTTTTCATTTACTAGATCAAAATTAAAGTTTCCTTTGTCAGTAGAGTCCCTTTTTCCATTTTCTATATTCAGAATAAAGTTTGCTCGTGAGTAGAGTCTCTTTTTTATCTTCTAAACCAAGACTAAATTTTGCTGGTAGATTGTCATTTTTTTATATTCTAGATCAAAATTCAAGTTTGCTTGGCAGTGGAGTCTCTTTTTTCACATTCAAGATCAAAATTAATGTCTGCGTGTCAGTAAAATCCCCTTTTTATCTTATAGTTAGCAATTTAAGTTTTTTAAGCTAAATTAGTTCAGTAAAGTCATTTTCATTTTATATTTTCTAGATTTATATTTAATTTGCTTGACAGTATTATAGTTTCCCTTACTTCATTTTCTAGATCTAAATTAAAGATCAACTTTCGGTTTAAAGTTTGCTGGTCGGTAAAGTCCTTTTTTTATCTTCCACATAAAAATTCAAGTTTTTTCGTCAGTAGAGGTTTCTTTTCCATTTTATAGTTTGCAATTTAATTTGCTCATCAGTAGATTTGTTTTTAATCTTCTAGTTTGCAACTTAACTTCTCGTCAGTAGAGTCCCTTTTTTCATCTTCTAGTTTATAATTTAATTTGCTTGTCAGTAGTAATTTTTATTTTCTAGATCAAAATTGAAGTTTTATTCGTCAGTAGAATCCCTTTACATCTTCTAGATTCAAATTAAAGTTTGCTCGTCAGCAAAGTCTCTTTTTTATCATATAGTTTTCGATTCAATTTTTTCGTCAGTAGAGTCCCTTTTTTATAACCTAGATTAATATTAAAGTTCACATGATGGTAAAGTTCTTTTTCTTCTTACAGTATGCAATTTAATTATTTCAATTAACTTTGATAAATTACATTTTAAGTTTTTTTAACTGTTCAAAAGAAATTAGTTGGAAACCGTGCTGATAAGTTTTTGTAAAGATCAGCCAATCCATTTCTCGTAAATAATTCCCTTTGTCAATTTATTGTCAATTTCAGTGAGTGTTTTTTTTACTGAATTTTAATTGATATTTTCCTAACTTTATGATAAAGTATTAATTTTACTTACAAAAAAACAATTTATTTTATCAAGGCTTGTCCACCTCTCCTATTTTCCCATTGTACAAGTATTTCCCGATGCGCACAAACAGTAAATAGTTTACAAATGATTTGCATAAAGAGCAATTTTTGCAAAGAAATTGAGATTGAATATTAAAATCTGAAGATACAACAGTTTTTGTATATAGATACCATACAAATCTATGGGCAAAGCTGTAAAATTTTCCACTCTCTCAATTTTTTTAATCTCAATCAATTTGGTGGGCATGCCACATAATAATATAATTTAAAAATAATTCATCCGATTTTGATTCGTAATTAAAAAATTAATGAAATAATAAAAAACACTTTCATAATGAAATCTTGAAACATCAATTGTGCCAATTCGATTTAAATAGAATCAGTTTCAGATTAGGTTGGAAAGACTATTAAGGGACATTTGTATGTGGCATGCTTTGCAGTGGATAAACTATTCATATATTTTTTGTTAGCTACTTCTTTCACTTATGCACCACATTTGCAATTAGTATTCGTACTAAACATTTTGTACTAGAAATATTTTTTATGTCGAAGCAGCGTTTGCCGAGTCATCTGGTATATATAGAAAATATTGTATTTGAAATATTCTAATGCCAGAATGTTCAGAAACCTCTGAAACGTAAACATACGCAAAAACGTTCAAATTCGATTTTTTTTTTTGCTATTACTACAATTATTATTACAACATCTCTTAATATTTTTATTAAAATTCCACGACTGAATGAAATCTCACAACATATATTCAACATATCACAATTCAACAACTACACATCAATACAAATCATAAAATCATTTAAACATTTATCACAATTCTACGGAATCATTAATGATATTCCGATGGAGATCGTAGAGACTTCTGTAGACATGTTTGGGGTCTAAAAATTTATATTTTTTGGCAAGTAGTTCCGGATCTCTTTCGTGAATTAGAATTGCATTCCAGCCTGCATCTCGGGCTCCTTTGTAGTCTAAAAGACCTGTATCACCTATATGGAGAACCTAAAAGATAAAAAACTATAAATAATAAATATTTTATAAAAAATATTTAAATATTTTAATATAATCTTATATATAAAAATGGATCGCAAAATGTGTTGGTAAGCGCATAACTCAACAACGCCTGGACCAATTTGGCCAATTCTTTTTTTAAAATGTTCGTTTAAGATCAAGCATAGTTCTTACGGAGAGAAAAAATCGAATAATTGCCGGGAAACCCCTAAAAACAGCCCTTTTCTTTTTCTCATACAAACGTTTTCTAACTAAAACGTAGAATCAATTTGAGCTTTATTGCTATTATATAAAGTTTATATTAAATTACAAACACTCACTGTATACTCCTCCTAAACGATTATTCGGATTTTGATAAATCTTTCTTAAGTTTTTTTCTAGGATGTATGTAATTATAAATCTTTCTAAATTTGTAAAAATGGAAAATTGCAAAAACGACATGTCATTGTTTGCATTGAAAATAAATGAAAACTATCACCTGCCAAAAATTTCAATTTACTCATGAACCTAGACAATATTAGAATATGTATAATAAATTTATGCTTATGAATAACAAAAATGAAATGTCTACATTATTATTGCCGAAAGGCAGCTGAGATGTGCCAGAAATTAAAATAATATAAAATACAGTATATGTATATGGAATTATACACATATGAACAAATATGACAAATTAATTCACTTAAAATATGAAATTAAGTATTAATCAGCGCCGGTCCTATCTTTAATGCGATGCATGCGAAAAATACGAGCGCACGTTTTAGGGGGCGCCAACACAAGATTCGGATATGAAATTTTCAATATAGTTTTTTTTTAATATATAATTTCTTTGCATCTTTTACTAATCTTTCCACAATATTTTTAAAATTCATAAAAATTTTACTTTATGACAACAAATGGGAAAGTAAAGATGAATACATAATACAATTCGGCCCTCACGATATCGATTAGGAGAAGTTTAAGATGCAATTTTAGATATCTTAAATAATAAAAAACGAAATTAATTTAATCCAACATGAAGTACCAGTGTTATGTTATGGTTATGGTTATGTTATACCGTTTAAGAGACTTCAATTTCCAATATATAGTGTGGGAATTGAGACTCATCATTTTATTTAAAGCATTTCTACATTTAATACCGCTCATATTATAAATGTATATGCATTTTGGCGTATAGAGTAATTTAAAAAACAATAATTATTATTTTTAGCTAAACGGTAAATATTAGTATATTATATTAAAAAATTGTAGACATGGGTACAGGACAACGTCTGTCGGGTCATCTAGTTAATATTTAAATATATAAGAATTTAGTTACTAATTTTCTTCTTATTATTACCTCTGATGGTTGTAAGTTTGGTATAATTTTTTGGCCCTCCTCCAAAGCTTTATTGAATATTTCTTCGTCCGGTTTTTGGGCTTTGGCTTCATACGAGCACATGACGAACGAGAAATGGTCTTTGATTTTCATATTTTTTAACAATTCTGGAAGACGAGGATCGAAATTGGATACTACGCCCATTGTTATTTTGTTGTCTGATAGATACTAGAAAAGAGAAATTGGTTAATGAAATAAGTTGATAAAGAAAAGAGTTTGAGCAAAATTTAGGTATTATAGTTGGAATATATGTTAAATCGTATAATAGTGCGTACTAAACAATTATCAATATTTTCAGGCGATTTTCAAAATTTTCAGATAGTCTACATGATTTTCATACAATCTACAACGCTCGAACCATAAAGAACATATTCAAAAAATTTTAATCTTTTGATATAGGTTAAGACATTTATAGACAATTTGCAACATTTTCTGACAATTGAAAACATTTCTGGACAATTGAGAACATTTTCACATAATTTAGAACAATTTCAGCCAGTGTAAAACATTTTCAGAAGATTTAAGACGTTTTTAGACAATTTGCAACATTTTCAGGCAGATTAAAATGTTTTTAGACGCTTACATTTTCAGACAATTTACAAAATTTTCTAACATTTTTTACCATTTTTAGACAAAGTAAAACATTTCCAGGTGAGTTTAATATTTTCAGAGGATTTGAGACATTTTTAGACAATTTGCAACATTTTCAAACCATTTAAGATATTTCGGACGTTTTACATTTTCAGACAATTTATAACAATTTCAAACATTTTTCATTTTTAGATAGACTAAAACATATAAAAAACATGTTTGGAAAGTTTAAAACATTTTCAGACAGTCAAAAAGATTTTCAGATAATTTACCACATTCTCAGATATGTAGCAATATTTTCAGAAAATTTTCAATATTTTCAGACAAATTGAAATATTTTTAGACAAATTAAAACATTTTGAGATAATTTACAAGGCTCTCAGACCAGTTACAACATTCTCAAACAAGTTTCAATCATTTTAGACAATTTGAAATGTTCAATATTTTCAATATTTTCAGACGATTAACAACCTTTTCAGACGGTTTAAAACATTTTCAGACAACCCACAACATTTTAAGAAACCACGTAAAATTATCAGACAACCCACATTATTTTCAGATAATCCAGAACACTTCCAGAGAAGTTACAACAATCTCAGACAATTTAAAATATTCGCAGACAAATTAAAACATTTTCAGACAAATTGATACATTTTCAGACGATTTAGGACATTTTTTAGGCAATTTGCAACATTTTTAGACTATCTGCAATATTATCAAAAAATATAAAACATTTTAAGACAATCCACCATTTTTTCATATAAGTTAAAGCACTCTCAGCCAAGTTATAGCATTCTCAGACAAGTTACAGCAACAAATTGCAACATTTTCAGACAATTTGCAAGATTTTCAGATAATTGAAAATATTTTTAGATAATTAAAAACATTTTCAGATAGTATTTCATTTGACATTTTTAATATTTTTAGAAAATTTAAAACGTTTTCATACAATTTTCAACATTTTGAGTGTATTTATGACAATTTAAGAATTTTCAAGCGCTTTAGGATGTTTTTCGACAATCTCCAACTTTGTCAGAAAATACACAAAATTTTCATATGATCCACACAATTTTCATACAAGTTACAACATTCCTAATAAAGTTTCAATAATTTCAGACAGTTTAAAATGTTTTCAGACATTTTGAAATGTCTATACAAAGTACAACAGCCTCAAACTAGTTACAAAATTTTCAGACAAGTTATAAAATTTCAGACAAGATACAACATTCTCAGACAAGTTACAACATTTTCAAAAAAATTAAAACATTTTCAGACAATCTACAACATTTTTAGACGATTTACAACATCCTTAAACATTTTCAAAAAAATTAATACATTTTCAGACAATTTGAATTTGCAACGTTTTTAGAAGATTTCCAATGTTTTCAGACAATTTACAACATTTTCTAACTATTAAACAGATTTTCAAGCAATTTAAAACATTTTCAGATAATTTAAAACATTTGCAGACTAGGTAAAACATATTCAAATAACTTGCAACATTTTCTAATAATTTGTAACATTTTCAGACAATACATAAAACTTTAAGACAAGCCACAACATTTTTAGACAAGTTACAACATTCTCAGAGAAGTTTCAATCATTTTAGACAATTTAAAACGTTCTTATGCATTTTAAAACGTTCTTAAACAATTTACAACATTCTCAGATAAGTTTTAATAATTGCAGATAATTTAAAACGTTCTTAGATAATCTACAACGTTTTCAGACGATATACAGCATCCTTATATAAATACTCTCAACAATTTAAAACTTTTTCAGACAATTTAAAATATTTTCATATAATTTGCAACAATTTCTGAAAATCTACATTATTTTTAGATCATTTACAACATCCTTAGAGAAATGAAAACATTCTCAAGCTAGGCGCAACATTCTCAGACAAGTTTTAATAAATTCAGATCATTTGTAACGCTCTAAAAAAAAATTTCAGAATTTTCAGACCATTTGAAATACATTCCACATCTACGATTTGCCTCTTTTTCTTTTTTCTCCAGAAGCGTAAAATTTAATTTATTGTAAATTAATTTAATGCAACTTTGTTGGAAGTCGCCTTAGAAGTTTCACTTCAATAAGTATGAAAAAAAATATCTTAAAACGAGAACCTCACGCTACTGGGAATTCACTCGTCTGGGAATTTAATAAATATTCCCAGTTGATAGTGAAAATAAAACCATTAAAATATTATAGATCTATGGAAAGTAATTTAATCACAAATCGTTAAAGTTTGGATTGTTAAAGTTCCAAAATTTCAATTCATGCTGATTAAGTAGTTGCGCAAAACTAATCTAGTATACTTCATTTACACAACCGATGTCAAACGATTCAGAACCACTTCGAACAAACATAAATTAATCAATTTACATTTTCCGGCAAATGATCACCTTTTTCCCTGGGAACTTAACTAATAATACTATTACTTTCTTACTTGTAATATTTCTCCGCTTCCATAACACTGTTGCCAGCAAGCTGAAGTCTGATAGGCGTCGATCAGATGATCGGCGATATGTTCCAATTTTTTTTCATTGACGGTCATTCCTGGTGCATGCGGATCCAGGGACAAACTGTCCAGGAAGGTCTCTCGAATAAGGGCCCTCCACCAGTTGCGCCAGCCCATGTCTGGTTCGTTCAGGCCGAAATTTGGATGCTGCTGGTTCATTCGCCACCAATTCGACTAGAAATGGAAAAAAAAAGAAAAAATAGTAAAACATGGAAGATTGCAGTTTTAAATATCTAAATTGATTCGGTAATTAGAATCATATGTAATTATCATGATTATTATAAATTTGTGTGCAATATATTTCTGGTTCTATTCGTATTATTATGCTACTAACCTCCACAGGTGATTAAAAACGTTTTTAGAGGGTGAAAAAGTGTAAAAGTGCTAAGGCATTATTTCAATTATCAATTTTTATACCTTGAAATTTTCATAGAGCTGATTGTTATCCCTCAAAACTCCAAACATTGCTCCAATTTCACCATATTGCTCCCCTTGACTGCGCCGAAACTTCAAAAGGGTATTGGTGACATCGAAGGTGACCAATTTGATTTTTTTGAACAGACTCATTATGAAAATCTAGAAAAAATAAAAAAATAAAATACAAATACAAAATTTCTTCTGGGACCTAGACAACATTTAAATTTATGTGAAAACACAATTTAATATACATCTAATATTTTTCTCAAGAGCCTTTATTTTTTATTTTAATTATTATCTTTTTATAGACTATTATTTTGTTTAATTTAACAGATTTTTTTCCGAAATTTTCATTTAATATATTTTACATCAAAAATCTGAAGAAAAAATCTGAAACTCAAACAACTCAGATAATTTAAAACATTTTTAGACAAATTACATTCATACACAATTTGAGACACTTTTAAGTAATTTTCAATATTTTCAAACAATTTGAAATATATTAAAAAAAATATTACGGTTTGTCTCTGATTATTTTTCATTTCGAAAATAGTAGAACTTAATTTATCTGAAAAAATTTGAAGAGAAAATCTGATATCACCACTGTTTGATACCAAACTGTCCAAAGTGGGTAACACAGAGAGCTCGGTTTATAACGTAATATTATAATAATATATTTTACCTAATATTGTAATAATGAAAATATAGAGATATTGATAAATATTTTAATACATGGTTAAGCAGCATACAAACTTTTTATGTGTTTGATTTACATTTAATTACATATTTTTAAATTTTTTTGCTAAATGTCCTTAACTGAACAGTTGTAAATACAGTAGTGAATAAAATAAAATTTTAAAAAATAATTTTTATCTATTTTTTTTTATTTTGAAAGGTTAGCAAAGCAAAAACATCTCACATATACCAAAATAAATTTTAACGCATTTTGCAATATTGAATATACAAATATGTTCATAAAATATTAAATAAAAAATATCGAATAATTTTAAATCAAAACCAAAATAAATAACTTCACATAATGTTTGATAAACGGTAAAATTGTTCTTTTACTGACTTCTATTTGACTTTTGTCACAATTTATTTAATTTTTGTCAAATATTATATAACGGAAATAAATATTTAAAAATATTTTTATCACTAGTATATGCTAAATAGAACAAAATCAAACTTTGTAAATATTTATCGACCAATTTCCCTCATAAATAATAAATGTAAAATTAGAAGATTACTGGAAGATCTTGACAATAAAAATATTACGATTAAACAATTATCTTGCAATTATGAAATATACTTAGTACAAGAATAAAAAAATTGCTAGATTTTGAATTTCAATTCTAATTTTAAGACAGACCTAAAATTTAATAACTATGACTAAAATTTATTTGCAAATATATTGCAAATGCATTTCTTCATGAATATATAAATATGCCATACATGGGTGATTTCATATTTATCCAAAAACTTTTTGGAAAGTGTTAGAATAATTTAAAATATATCATTAATGATATTGGACCAATAAAAACTGTTTTACTAATAATTTCAAAATTAGACTGCTAACCCTATTAAATTTATCAAAATGGTTGTCTACATAAATCTTGTATTATAATGTATGAATTGATATAAATTTTATTAAAATTATGTATACATTTACCATTTTATTCATTATTATTTATCTTTGAGTTGCCCTATAATAATTTTTTATAGTAATGATTTTTATGTGAAAGTGTGAAATAAAATTGTATATATTTATTTCCAAGATTTTTTACAAATTCGTCTACGCAACCACTAATTTTTTTTAATTGTGTTTGGTAAATATTTAAGAAAAAATTTAATAATGAATATTAATTTGCTATTATTATCCAAAAACGTTTACTTTTAAAACTATCTTCCATTATTTAGTAACAAATATTTAAAAATAATTTACCACTCATTAGTGAAGAACAAAATAAAATTTAATGTATTAAATTTTATATATAAAATTCGATATTTATATAGTAAAATTTGAAAAACCGTAATTTTTTTAGTAATTTCATTCGATGCAATTATTAAATCTATTTCCACAAATATAAATATTTTTTCAGTGCATAAAAAAATATTTAATAGAATTTTTATTAATTGTAAGTTTAATAGATTCATAATCACAAAACAAAATACAATTCTATATATTTAATTTATAATTGTTATAAAAATTTTAATTAAATGTAAATTTTAAATTAATGATGTGATCTTTTATATCATAATAATTGTCTCACAGATGAGATATAAAATTCAATATTTATATAATAATTATTTAGTAAAATTTTAAATTTTACTAAAATACTTAGATTTATCATAATTTTTGAATTGTCACGCTCGATGCAATTATTTGAAAAAATATTTACATAACTATATACAAATATTTTTCCATTGCATATTTAATAGATTTACAATTCACTAAATATTTAATTATTAATTATTATGGAAAATTTGATTGAACGTAAAAATTGAATTAATCATGTAATCTCTCATACCAGAATAATTGTCTCACTAAGATATAGTATGTATGAATTACTTGAAAAACTAAAAAAAAAATACATACTTAGAAATAATAATATTATTTATTCTATTTAGCACTTATTTGTAAATCTCTCGCTGTAGAGATTCGAATTTTATAAAAATATTTCACATAATTTTTCATGTTTGAATATTTGTTTGAGTTTGTATAGATGTATATGTATATGTAATTTTATGTAATGTATGCTATTTGTATAATTTTGCTCAACAGCTTATAGAAATTTGTAATTTTTGATGCTGTTAATAAATATAGGGTATGCCATCTAACATTTTTCATTTTCATTTTTTTTTCAACGCTCAGCCGAGACTTTTTTTTTTCATTTTTGAATGAAATTATTATAATCATTATTAAATAAATTAATTTCATTATTAACTGAAAGAATTGTACTTTCAAATAAAAAAAGAAGCCTTTTAAAAACCATCACTACCATTAGAGACAAATTCTAATATTAAAATACATCAAATAGAAATAAGCCAACCATTGGGTTGCCTTATAATATACCCAAAAAAAAATCATCATGACTTATACGACTTTTAAGTTCAAATTAATAAATAAAAAATAAAAATCCAACATCTACCGTGGCTTTTCTCAGTAATCAACAGTCCAAGATTCAAGATTCCGCCGGCTGATCTTGACAGGACAGGACAGACGTCAACAGTCAACAGTCAACACTAATACACATCACTATAATAACATTTACACTTATCAATAATAAATAATCGACATTTAAAATAAGTTATCGACAGAAACTAAAAACAAGTCTAGTTATCATCGACCGCAGCAGTCATAACACCAAATAAAATAAAATAAAATGAAATGTGCAATCGAAACGAACACCATGACCGACGATGACGGAATAAAATGTAAAATATGAAATGTTAACGACAAGCCGAAGCCGATGCAGACGATGCCGATGATGGTGACGTCGATGACTATGACGATGGTTGTTAAAGAAGTGGGGAAAAGCCTTTACAGTTATGTTACGGTCAAGGGATTTCGAATTTTTGGAAGAATTGAATTATTGAATTGAATCGGGTTTCGTTGCAACCGAGAATATTAATATCGATCAATTTTTGATTAATTAATACCATAAATCATAACGTATAATACCATAAACATGGTAGAAATATAGTTTAGGTCAAATTTTAATCCATTAAGACGATTTTCCAGAGAGACAAAAAAAAGTGTGTTAAGCGAGAAAGCGTATTATGCGTTATAGCAAATAGAAATAATATGTTTAAAAATGAGAAAAGGAAGAGAGAAGTAGAGAAAGATAAAGAGAGTGGGTGAAAGAGAGGAAATGAAATAGATGAAGGAAAAGAGAGAAGAACCATTTTGAAAGAAATTAATTGCAAATAAATGTATAAAAATATGAAAAATATTGAAAATTTATTAACTTCCCGTAAGGTAGTTATAGTAATGGGCCGAAATTCTAAAATGAAAATTTTTGCATTTCTCGACGTTTTGAAGATTTCTGAACATTTTTAAGGCATACCTCAGAAACTAAATGGATGTGTGTGCGTGTGTTTTGTATGTCCGCATTTTTTCGTCTACGTTTTCGGACGCACGGATCAACAGAAAATATAAATCGAGTTTTTGAGAGAACGGATCATCCGATTTGTGTGACGGGGAAAAGTGGTTATTAGTTTCTGGCAGAGGTAGGCCCAGCGGTTTAAAAAAATGGCAGTTTTTGAGAGAACTAAGCATCCGATTTAATTCATTCAAAGAACTTCCTGCTTGTTTCAACAAAATAATTGCTTTTGGAAAAAAAATTGTTTCTAATTTTTCGAAAAAATAACCCAGGCTAAGCACAGTCTAAGCGCCACTTTGGTACAAATATTTACCCGAATGGGTTTAGACTGTTTATGTACTAGAGCACTTTTCCAATTTTGTGAAAACTATTGAAAAATGTAAAAATGTCGCCAAGCCAAGCACAGTATAGGTAAAAATGTCGCACAGAATTATTTGGAAATGCAATTAGACTGTGACTTTTTCAATTTTGTGTAATAGGCAACTATTTTTTTGAAATTGAATTCGAAATGAAATGACGATTGTTAATGTTCTGGAGATAAATTAATTTATTTATAATTTACATTTGATTTGCTCAGATATAACAATAATATAGCCACAATATTGAAAGTTGCAGTATTTGTAATAATATATTTGAAAACGTTTAAAATTTCTCGAATATTACATTACGGTACGGGAAGTTCCAGCAATTTGCCTTAAGGCACGATGCCATACACCACTAGTTTAAAAATTATATTAAAATATATAAAAATTTAGATCTGCAAATGTAAAATCAGTTTTCAGAGTCCATGTCTCTGATCCATACTCGTACAATATGTACAATAATATTAATAATGTACAATATTATCAACTTCCCGAAGTTTATGCTTTCATCAAAAAATCTGATTTGCTAATTTTTCGTCCACGTTTTATCTAAATATCTAAATTACGATTTGGATCGATTAAGTTTATTCTTACACACTTCGGGACGTTTATGCAACTTGCCTTAAGGCTAAATGCCACTTTCAACTAGTTTTAACTGTTAATATATGGATAACAAAGTTTTCGAGTAGTAAAAGAGACAAATTACACTTCTAAAAATACAGTTAAAATCCATTAAGACGATTTTCCTATATGGTTTCCATAAAATGGTGTATTATGCGAGCAATCATAAGCATATCGTCTTAACGGAGTTTAAAGTAATGATTCTAAAAGTCAGAATGAGAGAGGAAGAGAAACAGTGTGGGGTGAGAGAGAGAAAAAAAATAAAGAAATTAGGAAAGTAAAAGAGAGAGAGAGAGATAGACAGAAGAAGAATGAGGGAGGGAAAGAGAAAGAAAAAAGAACTATTGTAAAATAAATATTTGCTATACGTCTTTGTCTTAAGGCAAATTCCTGGAACTTCCCGTACCGTGATTAAACATTTTTAAATGCTTTAAAATCTATTAATTAGTTTGAACTAGTGGTACATGGCATCGTATCTTAAGGCAAATTGCTGGAACTTCCTGCACCAAATATTAATAGAATAGAAATTGTTATTAACACTATAATCGCCAGTAATATCAGAAAAATCTTCACATGGGCATTGGCAAATTTATTAGATAATTTAATTAAAAATATATAAAGGACCTTTAATGTATCAGTGAAATATTTTCCCTCAATTCCTGAAAGAACACTATTTTTTATGTGATACATATGACTGACATGGCCCTATATGAAAACTTTTTTTCTTTATAAATGAATATAATATTTTTTAAAAAGATTTAATTTTCTTTTCGAACTCTGAAAAAAATCGATTTTTGAGATTTTTATAATTTTTGAGACATTGAAAATTTTAGAATCCTTTGAAACGTAAAGAATTATAAAAATTTTCATTCTCGATTTTTTTGCGATTACTATAACTTACTCTACACAAAGTTAAAAATTAGTTTTTTTAGAAATGGAAATTTTTGAAAAAAAAAATACTTTTCTTTATATTTTTAAATACTTTGACATTTTTGGAAACTATTATTTAGAAGTAGAATTATTAACTAATTGAATCATTATAATTAAATTAATGACGTAAAGAATCCTCTACAAACAAGGAAATGATCAGCATGAAAAAAAGTATCACATTCTGTTTGCCTGCCACAACATCTTAAATTACTCTAATAACATCACTTAAGGAAATTATAAGTATCTTAAAACAAACACATTTTTTTACATAAAAAATATTACACATTAAAAAAGTTATGAAGTGAATTTTTGTAATAAACTTTTTTTTAAATTCACACGTCGGCCTTGAAGAATATTTTTTATAATATATGAAAAAATAGTACAAAGCTATAAATATGCTAATAAACTGGTTCTCGACGTATGAGGTATTTGAGCTTGGTTTAAAATATATTTTTGATATTATATGCAACAAACTTAATAATTTATAACAGATTTAAACGTTTTTTTTAAACCAACAACAACGGTTCATTAGAAATTACAAAATTGATTACAAAAATGCAAGGATAAATCCCAAATCCAATATAATCTATTCCACCAGCAAAAAAACTCGTTAAAGCAAAACTCAGCAAATTTCTAAGTTTTTTTCAGATATTGATCCAAACGTATACAGTTCATAATTCATATTCAAATTTCCATCAATACCAAAAAGTATTTTTTTACCACCGAAGGAACTTTGGCCACCATAGTTGAACATCTATCGGACAAGTAGAATATTAAATCAATTGATCGTGGAGTTCAAAAAAAATATCTAAGAAGTACTATCAGTAATCAAATTTTTTTCATATTGCCTTAACATCTCATGTCTATTAAAAAATAGCAAAACAGCACAAAATGGATTTTGAAGTAAAACTTCTTTAGACGCGACTAGAGTGTAAATCCGTACAAATGCAACGAAAGTCCATTATATAATTATATCATTTCTATACAGGCCGATTGTGATTAGTCGTCGTGTATGTGAATAGAGATTTTTGGTTGTATGCGTACCGATATCGACAAATAATTGGCTTAAAGTAACATCGTAGTACAAATTTTGATTTAACGAAAAATGTCTGAATCAGAAAAATATTTTACCCTGTTTCTTGAAAATAATCAAACAAATTAAACATTTGTGCCGTGTACTAAACATAAGTTTATTGATTAGAAATTATTTCTATATTATTCGTAGTTTCTATGAATCTTTGAAGTTATTAAAATGGAAAATATTTTTTAAGGAAAACAGATATTACAGCTTCTCAAAGAATGAGCATATATCGCCAGCGAAAAAGTAAAAAAAATACAAGCATTCAATGAATGTACGCTAATTTTAAATACATGAAGTTCTTCAAGCACAATTATTACATGATGAATGGAGTTGCGAAAACAATATTTGTTTAGGCGTTGTTTAATATAATCCACTGTGTGAACGAATATTATAGAATTTATTAATCAGCAATTACTTCATTTCACTAATGGAGGTTCGTTTCTGAATACTCATTACAGTGACAAACCGATCATGTCATATTTGAAGTATGACTTTAATTACATTACTATTTTTTAAATATTATACATATTATTAATGCCATTATAAATATATACTTTATAATTTATCATTATATCAATGTGTATAATGGTTGACACTAATAAATGTGTGCATCGCGAGTATTACCATATTACTACTAAACACTATTCAAAATTGTTACATCATGTATTTATTTTTACTTAAATGCCATCTTGTATAGTAGCAAATAAGTTTTACTTCAATCGCGTGTGAACCTTACGCACACTCTTTTTTCATTCATTTTAAAGTCAAAGGAAACTGTTGGACGTGCAATTATTTGTGTTTTTTTCTGTTTGATATAAATTATTTTTAGTGCAGTAAACGGAGAGGAAAAATGGGTATAACCTCACGATTTTATAAAAACTTTTTTTTCCAATTTGCGCGGCCGCGCAGTCTTTAAACATTCATAACTCTGTCAATTTTTGTGCCAAAGACAAATGATAGAAAACAATAATAAGCCAGAAAAGATCCCTTTAATTTTGAAGTAAAACTTCTTTAGGCGCGATATGGGTGTAAAAATTTCTTTAGGCTACACGGGTGTAAATCCGTACAAATGCAACGAAAACGCCAACGTGAAGTTGAACACTACGACGCCGTAAGCGCTGATGTCGCGAGTATCCACTCCCGTCATGTCATGCGTAAGTCGAGCGCTAAACCCTATATGAACTTGCATTAATTGAATCACGTTTTTTATGTTATGTCCTCATGGAATAAGACTTTTCTTAGAGAATAAATGTGTCATGGAATATAATAAATTTATACTGAATCTCGTTGAAGACAAAATAATATCTACTGCCACGGATATTTATGTAGGTTGCCATGCGACAGATCAACAATCATACATT